GGTGACCGGTGCTTGAGGTCCCTAAAGCACCGTTAATGGATCGGGAGGATCCGTAATGACGTGCTTTGGGCGACGTCGACTGTTTACCATTCGGTCTACAAGATCGGGTATGACAGATCCATCGTTGTACGCACATGACGCGAAAATTCATCGGTCAGTTTCTGAAGAAAAAAAAAGAAAACCATTGCGATATCTTGTTTTCATAATAGTTATTGACGTTTGTACGGGCTTACAGTAGTAACGTTTGATAGATGGCGTCATTAGTTTTCTGAATCGCGCTATGCTTATGTTAAGACTTAATTTGAAATTGCGTTTCAAAGTAAAAAGGTAGCGTTAACGTATACTTAGCTCTCAAAAGGTTTTTGAAGGGAATAAATACTTCTTTAACTGCGTTGGGCACTTTTTGGTAGGAGAAAATCTTATAGGTTCGCGTTACCGACATGCTAATGTTTCGTAAACAGTGTAAACACATATATAATTATATACCTGGACTCATGGATTATACAGGCCATTGGAGTGCATAGGCATCACCGCATGAATGGCCAGCCCAGTGAGTTTCTCGCCGGATCATATCAGTGGGTCGCGTTGCCGATCCGGAGGTAGATTCTGCGAAGCACTGCTCTTCCTAGGGCCAGTGTTAACAACACCTCCGGTTTTGAGCCCCGAGAGCTCATCTACACGCTAGGATAACGCTAATATAGCATCTCAAGGCTATCAGCATTTGTAGGAAAAATGAAAGCCTCCATAAGTTTTGAGAAGGGAGGTCTAAGTCTCATTGTATAGTGACTGTTCCATCCTTCTAAATGCAACAAATGGCTGTTTTGCGGCAGAATAGGCGGTATGGATGGCATGTGATAACTACCAAACCGGGATTACTTTGCGTCTTTCTAACAGTAAATATGAAGAACGATACAGCCCATTCCTCGGAGAATCACTTAGTTGTCTTTTACGACACCCCAAGATAGCGTAGTGCTTCTCCACACCCCACTTACCCAGCAATAGCCTATCATAAAGACCTTCGCATTTTTCCTAATTCTTGTGAAGATGGTGAACTGTACCACCATCTTATTTTACCAGTCATCTTGGGGAATGAGATCAAAGGCTTTGTAGTAACGGTACTTAGGACGAACACAACAAGAAAATATTCATGAACCACCATCAACACGAACAATGTTATTGGCACTGTTAAAGACAGCTGACTGTCGCTTGTTCGGTACCAGATAGCCTCGCCGAGAATCCACAGTCATACCGCTACTAATCTTTGATTTACAATCTCCTAAATCTTTTGTAAGTACAATTTGTAACCAAAAGTTAAACAACGATTCTAACAAGACCCGAGACACGCCCAACAGTGAACAGTAAAAGTAATTGTCCATTGTTCGACAGTCGGACGGTGAATGGTCAAAACGGACATAAAGTTAAACTGGATTAGACACTGTTACACTTTATTTTCGTGCTTGCGTACTAGATGAGTCAGTCATTGGAACTAGATTAGAGATAGATAGCCTACAATATCGGTCCTAAATGACAGCCATCCAGTCTACATCTGAGGCTAAATAGCGGCTTCGGAACTAAAGAGCGCGTAAGACGAAACTGAAAAGGTACTTTCTAATTACGTCTATGGCTTGGGTGATAAGCCCTAAATCGCCAAAGATTTTTATGGAGGTTTCGCACGTAGCTACATCGCTCAGGACTTTTCGACTGTAGCCAAGGAGTTTTTCACAAATGGCTATACATTTTTAATGGTGGTAGGACCCATTGTGAGTCCGCACGGGTAGGTACCACCACTCTGCTTATTTCTGCCGTGAAGCAGTAATGCGTTTCAGTTTGAAGGGTGGGGCAGCCGTTGTAACTATACTGAGACCTTAGAACTTATATCTCGAGGTGGGTGGCGCATTTTCGTTGTAGATGTCTATGGGCTCCAGTAACCACTTAACACCAGGTGGGCTGTGAGCTCGTCTACCCATCTAAGCAATAAAAAATAAAAAATAAAAATTTAAATGGCTGGTGGTCACCACAATAATCAAATGTCGACGTCCGCGACCTATGTAATGTATTCGAAACATTTCAAAGTCAAAGGCGAGATTAAATCCTAAAATTAGTTTTAATAATGTATTTTCACTTCACATCCAGTCTTTGGGTTCAACAACAGAACCCAACAATGTATTTGAGGACCCTAAACAATGGTCTCGTAATACTTTCGCTGATGTTCTTATTCTGATTTGACGTAAAATATGACATTACATCAATCTAACGACTCGTTTCCGGCTATTTATCGTGTCTGCTAGCTTACTGCATCTTGAATGGAGTGATTATTTGTGTTTTGTTAAAAAAAAAGCACCAATCAAAAAAAATAATCAAAAGAAAACCCATTCCCCCTGAACTTATAGCAAAGAAACTCAGATAAATGAACGCTAAAACAATTAAACATACCCCTTTAGGGCAGTTAAGTAAATGCGTGTCTAGATGTACCAGCCTCCTGGGGTATCTTTCGTTTATGCTTAGTTTGAGATTAACTGGTGGTAGGACTTCCTGTGAGTCCGCGCGGGTAGGTACCACCACCTTGCCTATTTTTGCCGTGAAGCAGTAATGCGTTTCGGTTTGAAGGGCGGGGCAGCCGTTGTAACTACTTAGTCTGGCCATAAATACTGTTGCAATTAAAAATAAACAAAATATTACATTTGAATTTGGAATCTGTCATTTTTATATGATTTCTCATTGAGTTTTCTCATTTTGGCGCCAATGCATTGTACAATATTTTGCGATATTAAAATGGAGTGGGGTGATAAAGAGAACCGAATCGCTGTGATTGCATTACACAAAGTAGGTATGGAGCCAAATGCAATTTTTAAAACTCTCCATACGCTTGGTATTATTAAAATGTTTGTGTACCGGACTATTAATAGGTGCAATGAGACTTTCTCTATATGACAGAAAAAGATCTGGCCGTCCACGTAGTGTTCGTACGAAAAAGGTGGTCAAAGCAGTAAGGGAAAGAATTCGAAGAAATCCTGTCCGAAAGCAAAAGATTTTATCTCGGGAGATGAAGATAGCACCTAGAACCATGTCGCGTATTTTAAAAGATGACTTAGAACTTGCAGCCTATAAGAGACGTACTGGTTATTTCTTAACTGATAATTTAAAAGAGAATACTTAGGGTGGTAAAATCGAAACAACTACTGAAGCGGTACGCAAAGGGAGGTCATAGAACAATTTTGTTTACGGATGAGAATTTTTTTACAATTGAGCAACATTTTAATAAACAAAATGACCGTATTTATGCTCAAAGCTCTAAGGAAGCTTCCCAATTAGTTGACAGAGTGCAAGTGGGCACTATCCGACTTCAGTGATGGTTTGGTGGGGTATTAGCTATGTCGGAGTGACTGAGCCATACTTTTGTGAAAAAGGTATCAAAGGTAGAAGGTATCAAAAAAGGTATCAAATTGAGAAGGTAGTGAAGCCCCTTAACAACACCATGTTCAATAATCAAGAATGATCCTTCCAGCAAGACTCGGCCCCAGGTCATAAAGCTCGGTCTACGCAGTCTTGGTTGGAAACGAACGTTTCGGACTTCATCAGAGCTGAAGACCGGCCGTCGTCTAGTCTCGATCTTAGTCCGCTGGATTATGATTTATGCTCAGTTTTAGAGAGAAGGCTTGCTCTAAATGCCATGATAATTTGGAGTCCCTAAACCAATCCGTACGATTGGCAGTGAAAAGTTTTGGAAAGAGTGCGTGCTTCTATTGATAACTGGCCTCAACGTTTAAAGGACTGTATTGCAGCCAATGGAGACCACTTCGAATAAGCTTTTAATACTTTAAATTGTTTTATATTTATGTATTAAACTAACACACTGTAAAAGTAATAAATATTATTTGCAATAGAATTTTTTTTATATTTAATTGTAACAGTATTTATGGCCAGATTAAGTATACTGAGACCTTAGAAGTTACATCTCAAGTTGGTTGGCGCATTTACGTTGTAGATGCCTATGGGTTCCAGTAACCACTTAACACTAGGTGGGCTGTGAGCTCTTCCACCCATCTAAGCAATAAAAATAATATTTAAGTCCATAGTTATATTTTTTAAGCTATGTACCAGGTATGCCCACATGCCGTTAAGGAGTTATATTATTGCCAATATTTTTGTGCAATTGAGAGAGAGATAGGAATAGGGACAGGGATTTTTCAATTGAGAGAGGGAAAGGATTTCGTATTTGAATTGGTAGGTTTTCCCCTTGCTAACTGCTTGATAGCCTTGAGGAGCTATTTTAGAGTTATCGACTTGGTAGGCGTGTTCACGGGGCTCAGCCTGAGAAAATTTGCTAACAACGGTCCTAGCAAGAGCAGTGCTTTTTTGAGTTTCTGATCTACTGAGATCTGGCGTAGAACTCACTCGATAGTGTCTATAGCTTGCTTGTTCTGCTACGAAGCGGTCATGAATTCCGGTTTGGTGCGCGGAGCAAACATTCTATTATATAATTGAAATTTCGACCCTATACCAAGTTGGATAGAATTCACGGTACCCAATTAACACCCAATCAGCCGTGAAATTGTCTATCCAGCAGAAGTAGTAAGTCCTATATCAGTCGAATTACCACCACTTACTTACACATTACTTGCCACTTTCGGTTTTAATCTACTAATTACGAAACAAAATTCAGTTACGGTCGGCTTCAAGTTGTTTTAATGGGAAATGTCTTATGAATGTCTCTTCGGTATTGGATTAGCCGTTACGGAATCCACCATTTGGTTATCTACAATGACGCTTGTAACTAACTGTCTTTGAGCCCGCTGTTTCGGTTCTTTTAAGTACCATTTTGTTTCTTCGATATTAATCAAAAGCTGTGAGTTTTATAGTTGTTGTTGCTTTTTTTTTGGTGTGTGGATAGAATACAGATTTTGCGCATGTGGTTACTAATATCTCCAGCAACATATAGCTCGGTTGAGATTAGCCACTCGTGCTATTCTTAGGATTGACTTGGATAGATACGTGAGACTCTATTTTGTACACTTATTCAACTTTTTAAGCTCCTTGGGAGCAGGTTGATCGGCTTCACAAGGTAATCTGTCGCGTAAGCTTAAATTGTGACTGCATATCAAATTGTAAACTCCTAGAGCAGCTTTGCCGAAATGGTACATAGCGCTTCTAAATATTTCATCGGTTTCTTTCGGGAAGCACAAAGCCCCACCAGCTAAAGCTCCAAGACTGGTGAAGAACAATCGTCCAGGTATCCCTCGTTTTGAAGCGAAAAGGTATCCGCTCAGAGCTCCTATACCCACGACACTGTGTCTAAGCTCCAAATTCTTTGGATCTCTCATATACGCTTTGAAGTCACTCTTAGCTTTTCTCATGCTTAAACAGATTTCTTCTTTCATGCTCTCTAATTCACATTTGAAATCACAGTAATTACACTGCGCCGACATTCTTAAAGCAGTCACGTGAGGCTGCAAGTACTCATGCAGCATCTTTGATTTGGCTTTTGGACATTTTTCTAGATCTTCCAAGTAGTCTTTGTATATCTGGTGTGGGTTATCGTACAGGGGAAGCTCGTTTAGGCGCATTGGAGGCGGTTTTGTTGGCACTTCTGTTTTGGCCGCTTCTACTGTTGGCACAATTTTGGCACCAAGCAACGCACTTCTCAAGGCGTCTATCCATAGTTTACCTATGATGTAGAGGTCCAAGTGGGAGTCGTCTTCGGGCGAGGTGTCTTCTGGACATGGCGGTAAACTATCTGTGTCCAAATTGGTTAGCTGTCTTCTCATGGTTTTGGTCGCGGATTTTTATTGCTGAACCTGATTTGTTTACGAAAAATTTTGTCGTTTGTCATGACAATTAAATTTGCGTAATCGTTGACAGAGACGACTGTCATGTGTCCAAGATATTTTTGCCGAAAGTAAAAGAGGCCTAAATAGTTTGATACTTGATTGATAGCGTCACGCCAAAGCTCCGTAGAGAAGTTCCGCATTTTTTTTTTTTTATTGCTTAGATGTGTAGACGAGCTCACAGCCCACCTGGTGTTAAGTGGTTACTGGAGCCCATAGACATTTACGACGTAAATGCGCCACCCACCTTGAGATATAAGTTCTAAGGTCTCAAGTATAGTTACAACGGCTGCCCCACCCTTCAAACCGAAACGCATTACTGCTTCACGGCAGAAATAGGCAGGGTGGTGGTACCCACCCGCGCGGACTCACAAGAGGNCACAGCCCACCTGGTGTTAAGTGGTTACTGGAGCCCATAGACATTTACGACGTAAATGCGCCACCCACCTTGAGATATAAGTTCTAAGGTCTCAAGTATAGTTACAACGGCTGCCCCACCCTTCAAACCGAAACGCATTACTGCTTCACGGCAGAAATAGGCAGGGTGGTGGTACCCACCCGCGCGGACTCACAAGAGGTACTACCACCATTAATTACGCAAATTATAAATTTGCGGGTTTGATTTTTATTACACGATGTTATTCCTTCACCGTGGAAGTCACTCGTGAACATTTGTTGAGTACGTATTTCAATAGAAAAATTGGTACCCGCCTGCGGGATTCGAACACCGGTGCATCGCTTCAACACGAATGCACCGGACGTCTTATCCTTTAGGCCACGACGACTTCAAAACTGCATTCCTCTACAGCCTCTACTAACCTTAGAATATTATGATAGAGACCTTTGTGTCAACGGAATCCGAGTTAAAATGGTATTTTTTAGTTGAAAACCGGATCCATTACTCCAAAACTTAAGTAATTCTCGGTTGTAAACATCGTCTTATGATACGATCAAAATGTTTATTAGCTTCCGGCCTTTGACATTTTCTCAAAATTAACAGTGCATTGTCGGGAATGTGAGAAGTAACATAAGTTATGTAGTATAACTGTGTAGTATAGCATAGGTTTAGTTTGTTTATTATTGTAGGTAATTGTCAAGCAAATGTAGCGCTTAAGTCTAGTAGTATATATATATTTAGGGCCGTGGCCTCCTATGAGGTCCCCGCGCCTAGGGAGCGCGCGGGGTATGTGGGACTTGATGATCTGCTGATGTTGGGAGCAGACCGCGGACCCAAGGAGTTTTAGGGCTTTACCGCACTAAATGACTCCCCTGCACTCTTACGCCCGACGTCCGATCTCCGTCCAGAGTCAGAACCCGGTTAGAGTAGGGGGGTTCCCGCGGTCAACACTGCAACCAGACGCGCGGCGCCACCCCGAGGACGCCCGACCGACGGGTCGTCGAGGCGATAGTCGACGACCAACGACGTCGGTCTCCGCGGTACGGCGGTCCTACCAGGCCGCCCGGGCGATGCCGCTAGTGTTCCGGGATACCCCGCTGGGCCAGAACCAGCCTGCCGGGTCGGAACGCGATACACCGGAGACCGACGGCTAGTATACGCTAACTTGATTAGAAAATATACCTTTGAAATGACATAATAAATGAATTGGTGTTCGTTAGTCTCGCTAAAACTCGAGAACGGCTGGACCGATTTGGCTAAATTTGGTCTTGAATCATTTGTGAAAGTCCAAAGAAGGTTTAAAAGTTAGATAAATATGAAAATGCTAGGAAGTAAATAAAAATAACAATTTTGTTTTTCCTTTGATGTGTCCCCCTTCGGATGGATTCCTTTTGTTTGTTTTAAGTTTATTTTAAGCAAATGTTTAGATCTTTTATTTATCGATTGAGGCACTACGAAGTCTGCCGGGTCAGCTAGTTAGAAATATATACATATTTTTAATTGCTTGGATGGGTGAACGTCCCACCTAATGTTAAGTGGTTACCGGAGTCAAAAGACATCAACAACATAAATGCCATCAACCATCCACCTGATGAGTTCTACGATTCTTCCCCACTAACTCTTTCAACGATGGGATGGTAGAGAATAATCTTCAAAATATCATTTTCACTGTTGTCCGCGGGCATATCCGAATTTAATGCAACCGCATCATCATTTTACAAATACAAATACTCAAACACGTTCAATGTGACCAATAAAAAATTTACCAAGTGTGAACACTTTAAAAAAAAAACAAATCATAAAAAAAATAATGGACTACAATACTTCATTCAATTCGTCTTTATATCTGTAGAAATAAAGTTCAATTTTATTGATTAACGAAATGTCAACGACATGGCGAATTAAAAAACACACTCGTAAAATGCGACCGACCATAAAACGGGCATTGTACTTTTTTAATCAAATTTTTAAGCTCTCTTATTTATGCCGTATGGTCGAAATTCCATTGCCAGAGTTTGAGGTTATATTGTGACGTCACTGCTGTATCGTACGTCTTAATCTAGAGATAAGCAGTTTTTATTGCGTCAGTACAACGTGAAATGGACGCTAGGTATCAGTGGAAGTGGTCTGCGCGCTTTTATGGTTCCGCGCTTAAAGCTCGGCCTACATGAAGTTCGGGGGAGATTGATTATTCAATCCTCTTTTTTTGATACGCTTTTATTAGCTTCAGACGTATGTATGTATGTTTGTAACGGAATATTTGAACATGATTTTGACCCCCTTCAAAACTTCGGATTAACTCGAAATTTGGTATACCTATTAAGGACTGATGACAGTTCAATATTAAAAAATAAAATTGAATTTTTTTTTTGAAAAAATTGAAATTCATCTAACAATGAAAAATAAATAATTGTTTAAAAAAACTAACAAAATACGCTTTTATAGAAAATCCAACTAAAAAATAGAAAACAAATTTGAATTAAAAACAGTGTAAAAAGTTATTGTAAAAAAGCGTGGGGTGCTTTTCAGGATATTATAAAAATAACCCTTCTACTCATATCTGTTCATAAAATATTTATAACTACTTATACCATGCATGACAGATGTTTCAGCATACACTTCGATAAGGCGGCAAGACATGAGAACCCTCTCATCGTGGCCGCCGGTAACTAGATTCCCGTTCCTGCGGACAGAATGGAAAGCAGTCGACGTTGCCCCAAACACGTCATTTCGGATCCTCCCGATCCACTAACGGTGCTTTTAGGTACCTCAAGCACCGGTCATCGTTTTTGTCGAACCCGTCGCTTGCGACGAAGGGCTCGACGAGCAAATTAACCCTCAGACACAGCCCACTGAGTTTCTCGCCGGATCTTCTCAGTGGGTCGCGTTTCCGATCCGGTGGTAGATTCTGCGAAGCATGGCTCTTGCTAGGGTTCGTGTTAGTAACGTCGTCAGGTTTGAGCCCCGTGAGCTCACCTACTAGTTAAGGTTACGCTGATATAGCTTCTCAAGGCTCTTAGATTAGTAGAAAAAAAAAAATTGTCAGCATCCCCGCGTTGGCTAATTTTTTTAAATTTGACTCGGATCCGATCGTGACGAAGGAAACAACCGCTAAATTTATTTGAAGATTTCCTGCAAATGTAATCGAAATAGGTCAAGCCGTTTCAGAGTTAGGGAACATACTAAAGGTACACAATATGTGTAAAAAATTTTTACCGATTTTTTTTATTGCCCCTGTAGGCAGACGAGCAAACAGCCCACCTAATGGTGAGTGGTTACCGTGGCCCATGAACTTCAACGATGCCAGGGGCAGAGCCAAGGCGCTGCCTACCAAATTTATATTCAAGCCGGCTTCCCTTTAAGACAGTGTGAAGCTAGCTTAAAACTTTGGAAGTGGCGAGCCGTAAAAGAAAAACTGTCTGTTTATTCTTCTGTGATATTTTATTGTCGCGCCTTCCAATCTCGTTTCATTGACGCACCCAAAATTATACTTATCGTAAACCAAAAAAAAACACTATATGATGACCGAGCTTTGCACGTTTTTTTTTTTTATAAGGCCATCTTGTTTTTTCTTTAAAGCGGTTAGTTGCCATGAATTAAGAAAAATAATATTATTATTCGCCAAAATAGATGTCGGGAAGAGTCCTAAAGTTGATTATCGATAATGTTGATCTATGAAAACACGAATAAAACAACATTTTCCGAAAATAAATCGTAGCTAGATCGATTTATCGTCCCCCAAATCCCCTGTATACTAAATTTTATGAAAATCGTTGGAGCCGTTTCCGAGATTCAGATTATATATATATAAGAAGTACTCGTTTGAAGGTATAAGATTTCACGTAGGATGGTCTCTAAATGAAAAAAAAAATGAAAAAAGCACGTGTGGCACTCGCGCTAAAGCTATTGCATAGCATTTTTTATCAACTTATGCAATTATAATAAGCCAATAATAATTTAATATTAAAACAATAATAAAATAAGACCGCGCTATATTTATAGAAATTAACAAAAGCAAAACATTAACTGTCCCCTTCACACTCATAAGCGAGACCGCGCGAGAGAGAGATGGGCAGACTTTTCAGGATGCGCATGCAGTGCGACATCACGCCGCGCGCTTATTCACAAACACTACACAAGCGCAACGTGTGATTGTGTTGAACGCGAGCTACATGGTAGGCGGAGTGGGGGGTGTTAGGTTTTATCTTCGTTACGGAATTTCTTGATTCTTCTGGGCGTTTTTTTGAAGAGAAAACTTCTTTAGAATCGTTGTGATTTCAAACCGGATGCAACGGAAAAAACGACAGGTAAGAGACACAAATACAAAAATGTGTAGGATGAAGCCAGCCAAGAATGAGACAGAAATATACATACTATTTAATACAGCGCCATCTGTGAGATTTTTTAATACTAACGTGTGTATGAAAGCTCTCGTAGTGAAATTGAATGAAATCTTTCAAGTCGTCGTGGCCTAAAGGATAAGACGTCCGGTGCATTCGTGTTGAAGCGATGCACCGGTGTTCGAATCCCGCAGGCGGGTACC